CACACACACACACACACACACACACAAACATACTTTGCTTTGCTTTTAAAAATGTGTTTGTTTGTTTACTTTATTTTTTGTTTGGGCTAACTGTTTTGGTTGAGGTCGGAGGTTGGGAGGATGCACACTCTCTCTATAATGTTTTGCTACTGCACCAGGGGAGCGCAGTACATTTTATGATATTTGGGTACTGCACGAGAACTTCTATGCAAAAGCGTATGTATGCGAAATGACAACAGAAGCTATTATTTCATTAACAAGTTAATTTCTTCCTCCGTCGTGCTTCTGTCACCTAAAGCACGGGGCTTTCTACTTCTTGCCTTGTCCCAGAAATGGCCAATTTATGTCCGTTAGAATTCCAAATTCTTACGCAAGCAAAAACAAAGTACAAATGTGTGGACTTGGGGGGAAATCATGCGCTCGTCAAAACTTTGAAATCGAAGAAATCGACATGTGCCTCTCTCTGGCGACTTTTTGTCGATTTTTTGTTTTTAGGTAGATGCCTTTTATGTCCACTCAAAAATACATTCCTGTTTTGATTTTACTGAAACGCTTTGAACAAATAAATGTGAATTTGCAGTTTCCATGAGCTCTACAATTTTGGAAGTCGCCAAAATTTGGTGGTGTATTTTCTCGCTAATTTCACCTCTGACACCAGGCGACCCCACCTCTTTCAATGGCAAATATTTCGACTTTTATTCGAGACAGATGAGTATTTTCGTTTCCATCAAAAGCATGGAAGATGAATAAACTTTAAGATTACACCAATTGCTCCATATGTTCTAAAATTGACGAGCACCTGATTCCACCGCGTCGGGACACAAGTAGGTTTTTGCTAACTCAGCATCTTGGCATGTGATGGAAAGCAGCAACTTCCTACTCCTAGGTAGAGTTTCAAAGGACCACACTGGCATCGAGTGACAAACGGGAGACGCTGTTATTTTGGCTTTGAAACCGTATCCTCAAAGAAGTGTCGTCTGATTGATTTGAAAACAGTCGACTGGTGTATTTAAATCCTCACCTTCAAGACAAAAATACGGAAAAAGTTCAACGTTGTTTTAAAAGAAGACACCAATACGATAACGGCTATTTAATGTTGGGGGAAAGTAAGGCAAACAGACAGAAACTTGAGAAGGATGGTAAAGAAGATGTTGTCAGTGACTGTCCGCTGCCCCCTGCCACTCGCCCAGAGACGTGTGGATTGCAAACTATTTTTGAAAGGTAGGTAGGAACGAAAACAACTCAGGCAGGAAGAGTGGCTAGAGGAAGAGTGCTATGTGTTGCACAAAGCTCCGAAAGGCAACGCCCAACTACTGGAAAAGCTTAGAAAAAAAGAAGCATGCGAAAGGGGGAAAAAAGAAACATAGAGTAAGAAGGAAGAGAGGGGGGGAGGAGAGAGAGATAGAGAGAGAAAGAGGGGGAGAGTCAGAGGTGAATACAGAGAGTGACGTCATCTGCAAAGACATGTTCAATTTATTTTTGGAATGTGAGTGTTTATTTTTGGGGGGGGGGGGGGGCTATACCCCCAAAATCAAAATTTGATGGCGACAGTGCGAAAAAAAGAATGAAGGGGGGGGGGGGGTCGAAATTTACTTTAACAGCACGTTTTATAATATCCTGCCTTCTTGCATAATTATCTTCGAGTTTGGCAAATCTTTAGTCCGTGAGTAGCAACGATAACCGTAGCGACGAAGATCGCATGCGGCAATATGAGAATAACCTATCATCATCCCTGTGATACCAGTATCTGTTGATTCAATATCCCAAATGAATGATCAGAATCAATACAAGTTCATATAGAAACGGAAATGCCACAGATGTCCTCTTGCCGATTATCGTCTAGTTATTCCTCTTTGAAATCTAGGTCAAGGGCTTTCATTACGCACTTCACCAGGTCACCGGAAAAGATTGTCTAGCCCCTGTCCATTGCGCATGTCCCTGCTGGACCATCTCCGTTTATCGCTCTGTTTATTCTTGGAGAATTCCCGGCATTTCCTTCCCTGCCTTAATTACGAACCGGCCGCTTCTGACGGCTCGATTCGCAAGGGTAGTGGTGGTGAATACCAAGCTCATCATTTGACTTTTCCCCCCAGTTCAATCACGCCATTTCTCACTTCCCCCTTATCTCTACTTTCCACTGTGCGTCGTATGTTATTTGTTTTTTCTGATTTTTTCAATTTTTAAATTCTTCTCCTCTGTCTGTCTGTCTGTCTGTCTGTCTATCTATCTGTCTACCTATCTGTCAGTTTAGATATTATGCTTCTCTCTCTTCCCCTCCCGCCATGTCTGCCTGCCTGTCTGTCTGCCTGTCTGTCTTTCTGCCTCTCTCTCTCTCTCTCTCTCTCTCTCTCTCTCTCTCTCTCT